CACACACACACACACACACACACACACATACGCGTATGTGTGTGGGTGTGTGTGGGTGTGTTTACGATTGCGTGTGTATCACATTAGTTGAGATATATTGATAAAGCTCAAACAATATAACACACTATTAATAAAAATAATAAGTGCACATATGTTATCTGTCAATAGCGTTAATATCATCATGAAGACGTGACATCCACGCAAAACTAAAAAGAAAAAAAAATTAACACAAATGAACATACCCTCTCGGTCACTGTAAAGGGTATTTTGATTATTTCAACGCTACCGTAATCCTACGCTTCCAATAACATTAGATAAATTATAGTATCTACAGTTTCTATCTATCAGCGCAATTGCGTATGTGTAATCGAAATGCTTTACAGTTTAGCGTTCAATAAAAGCAGGATTTCTATAACATATTCTAATCCTTAAGGTTTTTATATCATAAATCACACGTAAACTGTTTAGCTACAGCAAATACACACAAGAACAAGATACTTGTTCGCCGAAGAGTTCAGCAAATAATTTACGTTATGTTTATTTAGACGGAGAGTGTGAGCGTTAACATTAGCTGTTTGATGATATCAGTCTCATGTTGTAAGACGAATCCCCTTTGCTGTTTAACGGAGCATGGGAAGTGCAAGTGGCGAGAGGGAGAGGAGAGAGGGGAACGCAGGTGGAAGAAAGGCAGGAACATAGCAAGGTTAATAAGGTGGAAAGATAAGAAAGGAGTTTATGGAAGTCTTAGAGAGACGTGTGAACAAAAGCACATGGAAAGGAAGTCAACCAAGAAATCAGGATTGTTCACAGTAAGAGGTTAAGAATCGTCTTTTCTGTCCCTTGGGAGTACAGACAGAAAAGTATTGTACTCAGTTCATTAGTCAAAAGTCATAAGATTCTAGAATTGAATCTTACGATTTGAACAGTTTGATACAAACACAGTGACAGCTGGAACGCGAGCTGGAGGAACTAGTTGCAGTGATACCAGAAGCGCTTACGACCGAAGTATAGTAGCACAGCCTGACATCCAATGACAAAATAAAGAATATAGTTAAGAGATATCCCAAAATAAAGAATATAGTAATTTAAATAATTCTTGGTTGATCTGCTAACGCTACTCGGTAGTGTAGTTAGAAAGGGGAAATTGAAATGTCATAGCGAAAGAGTGTATACATGGTAAAGCAGGGGAAATGAATGGCTGAAACGACTGTTATACTAGTTCGCTTTGGTTTTAAAACACTGTGCTTTCTTTCCCAACCGCTGGCAAAAAAATTGGGAAAGCATATAGTTTTACAATTTGCGCTAATTTAGTACACACGAGTGTAATCATATAAACAACATTTCATTTTAATAAGGAAATGTTTAAGATTGTAGAGAACACTATTTCGAACCGGTTTTATGATTATTATTTTTTAATCTGAAAATGAACATTATTCCATACACCCTCCTAGCTAAGCGCCTCCTTGTGTCGTCCATTTACTGAGATTTTCTCATAGCAGCATTGACACCTTTTTGGCTTTTTTATAGGCCCATCTAACTCAGTGAGTGAGTGCAGGACCTTCGTCTACTCACAACGCTTGGAACCTGTCGAGTAAAAAAAATATATATATATATATATATATATATATATATATATATATATATATATATATATATATATATATATATATATATATATATATATATATATGAAAAACAATAATAATTAGTAATTTTGAAGATCGCACACGTTACCCTCAGTTAAGGTTAAGGTTAAGAACATATGTAGAGAGGAAGGCAGATATAGGATACGAATATTTTTTAAATTAAGCAAAAAAATATAGTATTTTTGTCATATATTTCATGTACATACTTTTTGATACTGTGGACGCATCATATATTTCCAATATATGTTTCAAGAACCCCTCATTAAGCGCTTTTGCTGACGTATCCACTGCGCATGTGGAACCAGACCCCACGTACCACGAAACGAAAGAAAACAAATCGATTCTACGTCCCTCTCTAAACTCCCTCTTCCTAACCCGAGGGCAAGAGTGGCGAGAGAAAAATGGACCAGGTTGCTCGCGAAGGCAATGAATGAGGAAGAGTTCGGTGAGGGATTAAATCTAATTCGTGAAACTTCTTCGCGATGCTGAGGCGATGCTCTTATCTCATGAAAGTTTTCCCTCTCGTGAAGAGCAACCATCTATTATGCAAATACAACTTATCTGCAAGAATAATTTATTTATAAAGTTGAATATCTATTTTATTCTATGTTTTTAACAAGATATGGCGTCATCAATATTATTTGAAGTCACATCTAAACGATGAAGGCTACGAACCAAAATTGTCATTCACTTGAAACATTTGAGTAGATTTATGGAATGTCAAAATAAATCATCATTATCATCTTCATCATCATCATTATCATCATCATCATCATCTCTCTCTCTCTCACTCTGTATGTATGTGTGTGTGTGCGTGCGTGTGCGTGTGTGTATGTCTATATGTGTGTGTGTGG